CAGGGGCGTGAGTGCTCCTCCTTCCAATAGGTCACAACTGGAAAGCCTTTACCTAGAGTATTAGTGCAAATAAGGCTGAATTGCATGATAGGTGTCTTAGAGTTACCGTTTCTGTTGTTTTTTAAAATTATTTATTTTTATTTTATGTATATTGGTATTTTGCCTGTGTGAGAGTGTGGGACCCCCTGGAAAAGGAGTTATAGACAGTTGTGAGCTGCCATGTAGGTGCTTGGAATTGAACCTATGGAAGAACAGCCAGTGCTTTTAACCTCTGAGCCATCTCTCCAGCCCTGGGTTACTGTTTCTGTAATGAAACACCATGACCAAAGCAACTTGAGAGGAAAAGGTTTATTTGGCTTAAGCTTGCACATTGCAGTTCATCATCAAAGGAAGTCAGGGCAGGAACTCAAGCAGGGCAAGAACCTGGAGGCAGAGCTGGTGCAGTAGCCATGGAGGAGTGCCCTATGCTTTTTTATAGAGCCTTGCTCAGCCTGCTTTCTTATAGAAGACAGGACTACCAGCCTAGCAGTGTCCCCACAATGGGCTGGGCTCTCTCCCATGAATCACTAATTAAGGAAATGCCCTACAGCCTGATCTTAGGGAGACATTTTCTCAATTGAGGCTCCTTCCTCTTGGATGATTCTAGCTTGTGTCAACTTGACACAAAACTAGCCAGCACAGTAGGTGGTAGATAGTGACTGGATACTACTACTCAGATAAGGGTCTTGTCACTTTCTTCACAACTCCACAAAGCAGTGTTAATGGCCAACGACCCCACCCCAGCTGGGATAACCGTTTTGCAAGAGGCCAACACTGAACACCCCAAGATGGCAGTTGTTTGGCCAACACTGAACACCCCAAGATGGCAGTTGTTTGGCCAACACTGAACACCCCAAGATGGCAATTGTTTGGTTGCATAAGTACATACATATGCAAATGCCATAATGAAACCCATTACTTTGTATGACAAAAAAACCAAACCAAACCAAAACAAAAAAACCACCAAACAAACCAAACCAAGACAACACAAACACCACACTGCACACAGGCTTTCACCCAACCCTGTTGCATAGCAAGAGGGAGAAATCAGAGAGTTTTGGGGTATTGTTGTAAAAACTCAGCTTTCATCTTAAAGGGAAATAAGAGTTTGTTCTGGAGCCATATTTGAGTGGCCATGGCCCAGGAATATAGATTTAGGCTATCCTAAATCTTAGGAACATGGAAGCAGTGTCATGACAAGTAAACATAACAAGTAAAAAAAATCAAGGCAAGTATAGGCAAGAAAATGGCTGTTCTGGGAACTGAAGGCCACCACTGCCCGGCCTTTCTAGGAATTCTTGTTGACTGAGGGAATGCCGTCTCCGATACAGTTGGACCTTGTTTTGTATACTTCTTTGAGTCCTATATATTACTTTAACTCTGGCTTTTCCTTAAGAATAAACTTCCCAGCTGGGTGGTGGTGGTGCACGCCTTTAATCCCAGCACTCTGAGGCAGAGGCAGGGGGATCTCTGTGAGTTTGAGGCCAACCTGGGCTACAGAGTAAGTTCCAAGAAAGGCTCCAAATCTACACAGAGAAACCCTGTATCAAAAATAAATAAATAAATAAATAAACAAACTTCCCAGATTTTTTTTTTAAACTTATTAAAGTGCTGGGAATGGAACCCAGGGACTTGCATGCAGTGGGGAAATGCTTTACTACTGAGCTGCATTTTCAGCTCAGATTTTTCTCATTAGGTTTTTTTTTTGAAATGAGGATCAAACCCAGGGCCTTGCCCTTGGCAAGCACTCTACCACTGAGCTAAATCCCCAACCCCTTATTAGTTCTTTTGTATGAGAGACTAAAGACTTTTGAGTCTTGGATTTATCTGCTGTGGTGTCAATAATTAATAAGATAGAAGTAGTGGTACATGCCTGTAATCTCAGCACTTGGGAAGCTGAGGCGAGAGGATCTTGAGTTTTAGCCCAGTTTGAAGCACATAATGGACTCCAGGCTTAAAAAAAAATTCCCCTTTCCCATTTGTATGGTGTGTGTGTGTGTGTTTGTTTGCATGTGTGTGTAGGTACATTTGGAGACCCAAGGTTGACATCAGGAATCATCCTTGATTATACTTTTCCACCTTATTTGTTGAGCCAGGGTCGGCTAATCAAACCCAGAGCACGGCAATGTAGCTAGTTTAGCTAGCCAGCTTGCTCTGGGGGATCTGCCTTCTGAGGGTGGAATTACAAGCAGACTGCCATAACCACCCTGGGTTCTGGGGATCTGAATTTAGGTCCTCAAGCACTTTAATCTCTAAGCCATCTCCTTAGCCTGTTTTTTTTTTTTTTAATTTATTTTATGTGTATGGGTGTTTTGTCTGCATCTATGTATTTGCTCTACATGCATGTCTGGCACCCACAGAGATCAGAATAGAGTGTTGAATCCCTTGGGACTGAAGTTACAGATAGTTGTGAGATGCCGTGTGGGTGCTGGGAATTGAATTTGGGTCCTCTGAAAGAGCAAGGACTCTTTAACAGATGAGCCATATCTCCAGCTCCTGTTTTTTATTTTTTATTTTTTAAGATTTATTTATTTATTATGTATACAGTGCTCTGCTTGCATGAATCCCTGCAGGCCAGAAGAGGGCACCAGATCCCATTACAGATGGCTGTGAGCCACCATGAGGTTGCTGGGAATTGAACTCAGGACCTCTGGAAGAGCAGTCGGTGCTCTTAACCGCTGAGCCATCTCTCCAGCCCATTTTTTTTTATTGTTTTAAGACAGGGTCTCATTCTGTATTCCAGGCTGTCTTAGATCTCATTATAATTCTATTAAGTGTGAGCCCCAAATTATATATATTTGGTTTTTTGAGATGGGGGTTCTCTGTGTTGCCCCAGCTGTTCTGGAACTCACCCTGTAGACCAGGATGGCCTTGAATTCACAGAGATCCCTCTGACTTTGCCTCCCAAGTGCTGGGCTTCAAGACATGTGCCACCTGCCTGGCATCCTTTTTATTGGTATCTTTTTGTTTTACTAAAATATTTTTATTACATTTACTTTATGTTGGTGTGTATGTGTGTGGGTATATGTGTTCCATAGTGTGCATGTGGAGATCAGAGAATACCTTGACAGGAGTCTCTTCTTTCCTGTATCAAAATCAGGCATTTCAGACTCTTTATATCCTTTTAAAAAATATTTTTGGGGTCAATGATATAGCTCATCTGATAAAAACACTTACCAGGTAAGCCTGACAACCTATGTTGAATTCCTGGATTCCGTGGTGGAAGGAGGAATGAACAGTTTCTGAAAATTGTTCTGGGATCTCCGCATGTAACATATTAGCACATGTTCTTTATACATACTAATTGGTTTCATGATAGCATTTTCATACATACATATTTACATTTTCTTTCTTTTTTTCTTTTCTTTCTTCTTTCCTCTCTTTTTCTTTCTTTCTCTCTCTTTCTTTCTTTCTTTCTTTCTTTCCTTCTTTCTTTCTTTTTCTCTTTCTTTCTTTCTTTCTTCTCATTGTGTTGCCCTGGCTGACCTGGAACTCAACTATATAGCCCTTAAACTCACAGATCTGTCTATGTTTGCCTCCTGACTGTTGGGATTGAAGGTGTATGCTACCATTTATTTAATTAAAAAAATTTATTTTTTCCAGGACTGTTACCCAGAAAAACCCTGTCTTGAAAAACAAATTAATTTGTTATTATTGTGTGTAATAGAGCATCACTGGGTGTGAGTACATATGGAGGTTGGAGGACAACTTTTGGGAATGACTTCTTGTCTTTCTGTTGGGCCAGGTCTTTCTTGTTTCTGCTGCTATACTGCATACTCTAGGCTAGCTGGCCCTTGACCTCCCCAGTAGTTCTGTCTCTGCCTTCTATCTCTGTAGAAGTGCTGTGGGAGTGCTGGAATTAATTCCATCGCATCTGGCTTTTTTATGTGAGTCTTGGAGATTGAACTCTGGTTTTCAGGCTTTCAGGGCAAGTGCTTTTACCTGCTGAGCCATCTCACTGGCCCCATTTATAATATACTTTTATTATGTTCACCTCATTACCCTCTCCTGCTCGCCTCCACTCCCATTGATTCCTTTCTTCTTTCCACCTAGTTCCTCTTCTACTCTCCTGCCTTTATTATTTTTTTGACCCATTGAGCTTCATTAGGGTTGCTTATATAGTCCTGGGTGAAGCACATTTGTAGGATTCTTTGCCACTGAACAAAATGTGTCTGTGTCCCCCAGTGACCATTAATTGGCTATAGATAACTCAGGGAGAGATGGGTCCTCATGAGCCCCTCCCCCTAGCTACCATCACCTACCTATTGATCTTCAGTGGGAGTATTCCTTCATGGGCTTCTTCTCCCATGACAAGGTGTTGACAGATCCAGTCTTGTCCAGTTCTTGTGCTGGTAATCACAATTGCTATGAGATAGAGTGCAGGGGTGATGCCATGTTCTGAAAAGTCAGTTCCATCTCACTCTGCTCTATCATCTGGCTCTTCACATTCTTTCTCCCTTGTCTTCTATGATGATCTTTCCATCTTGGCAGGGGAGGTGACACAGAGTCTCTTATGGCTGAATGTTCAACAGCCCTTTATTTTCAGCACTCTGATCAGTTATGAGTCTCTGCAGTTTCTGCTGTTACTCGGACCTTTTAATTAAATATTGTATTCATTTGTGTCTCTGTGTGTGTATTTAGCATGTGGGCACACACATCCCACATGTGGGGATCAGAGGACACTTCAGGTGTTGGTTCTCTTCTTTAAACATGTAGGTCTTGGGGATTGAACTCAGGTTGTATAGCTTGGCAGCAGGCACCTTTACCTGCTGAGCCATCTTTCAGGCCCCTGGGATCTTTTAATTAATAGATGTTATTAGTGTTAATGGAGTTTTATTAGTACTTCCACATACTCCCTCTTTTATGGTTATCATATATGTGCCTTATTAAAGCTTTTGTTCTCTTCATGGTATGTGTGTGTGTATAAAACTTAATTTTTTTTGGTCTGTAAATGAGCATAGGTGATGCCATGGAGAATGGAAAACCTGGTCCAGTGCAGGTTGTTTTGGTTCACAAAGAACAACACTCCTTTGAGCTAGAAGAGAGCGCCTTGGCCAGCATCCTCCTGCAGGACCACATCCGAGATCTTGATGTGGTGGTAGTATCAGTGGCTGGTGCCTTTCGAAAGGGCAAATCCTTCATTCTGGACTTTATGCTGCGATATTTATATTCTCAGGTAAGGAAGAAGTAGTTTATTTCAAAGTTGAAAGTGAGCAAAATAAGCTCATAAATTAAAATTACTTAAGATTTGGTGAGGGGTCTGGGTATGTAGTATAATGGTAAAGTGCTTGCCTAGCATGTGTGAGGCCCTGTATTTTATCCCCAGTGCTTCAGAAAACAAAACCAAAGATGTAATGGAACATCTTATTTCTACTGTAGAAAGAAGATGGTCATTCAAATTGGTTGGGTGACCCTGAAGAACCACTGACAGGATTTTCATGGCGAGGAGGCTCTGACCCTGAAACCACTGGGATTCAGATTTGGAGTGAAGTTTTCACTGTGGAGAAGCCAGGTGGGAAAAAGGTAAGGATAATAAAGATAGAAGAAAAAGAAAAGGAAGGAAGGAACAAAGGAAGGAAGAAAGAGAGAAGGAAAAAGAAAAAGACTTAGATGTTATAACAGAATAATCAAATGAGAATGTATGTTTATTTTTTCTTGAGATAGGATTTTTCTTGATAAGTTTGCCAGGTGGGTCTGGAACTCATGAGGTACCCCAGGCTGGCCTTGAATCCTGAGAATCCTGCTTCAGCTGCCTGTGTGCTGGGATCATAGGTGCATATTGCCATGCTTGGCTCTAGATAAGAACTTTAATATATTCTGTGTTATTCCAGTCAAAAAATAACTTTGATCTTTATATGTCCATGATAACTCCTATGTCCCTAATGTAATTACTTTTCTGTTGAGTTTTTTGACAGTAGATCCTACAATGTACTTAGCTAGCTACTTTACTAAGTAGAAAGCCTGATTCAGGGAGATGTCAGTATATATTTTATAATTAAAAAAAAATATTTGCTTTGTAAAACTGATTGCTTACCCAGACCTCCCTTCCATCTTTGAATTTCTTTGAAAAAGCCACTTATTGTTTGAAAAAAATGTTGTAAAACAAAAGAAAGCAACTCTTAGAGCTATATGTGCTGTTCGTACCTATAGTCTTAGCACTGGGGGCTGATGTAGGAGGGCCACCACTTAGAGGCCAACCTGGGTTTCTTAAAATGTGCATAAAAGAGCTTAGCATGGTGACTTATGCCTGTAATCCCTACACTCGAGAGGCTGAGGTAGGAAGATTAGCACAAATTTGAGGACAGCATGGGTTATATATAAAGTGTGGGACACTGTTTCAAAACAACAAAAAAGTGGTTTGGAAGTTTACTCTGCTAGTATGTGCTGTGAAACCATTTCTCTCAATGTTGAGTACACATGTAGCTTCTGCTCTTCAGAGAGCTTCCAGTATATCCCCTTGTTTCCTCTTTAGTTTCATTTTTCTAATTAGCAGACATGTGTGATAGCAAACTTTTGTTCAATTGGGATATCATGGTGATTTAGAATTCATCTTGATTCAGTGATTTTGAGTGTATATATACATAAAGCTGAACAGGTATCAGCACCGTCTGACTCCAGAACATTTCGTTAACTCAAAAGAAGCCTGCAGTAATGTTAGCAGTCACTCTCCATTTCCATCTTCTTCCAGCCCCTTGTCTCTACTAATTTACTATAGACTGAGCTGTTAGGAAGTACGACTGGATGGAGAACTAGGTGTGCTTGCATTCCACCTTCCCTTCTCTCCCTCTTTCTGTCTTCTCCCTTTCCCTGCTTCCTGTCTTTTCTGGTATCACGATTGACCCTAGTACTATGTGTATGCCAGGCAAATGTTCTAGCTCTGTTACATCTTGAGTATCTCCATGGACTGTCTATTCTGAGCATATGATACAAGTGAAATGATGTGTATTTTGGGTCTGCCCTCATCCATTCAGCCTAATTCTCTCACAGCATTCAATAGTTCTTTACTCCCTTTCATGGCTGAGCAATATTCCATTGTATGAAAATATCATATTTTTGTATTCATCAGTTGTGAATATTTGAGTTGCTTATACCTTTTGTATATTATAAATAATGCTGCCTGTACATGCCTGTAATCTTAGTTCTTGGGAGGCTGAGGCATGAGTTTCAGGGTAGCTTGGCCTACAGTGTGAGATCCTGTCTAAATTAACCTCTCCCTTCAAAATAAACAAAAAACTCAGAGATGGAGAGTTGGTTCAGTGGCTCACGAGCATCCTGTAAAAGCTGCTTCTTTAGAGGACCTGGGTTCGATTCCCAACCCCCACATGATGTCTCACAACTGTCTGTAATTCAAGTCCCAGGGGATCTAATACCCTCTTACAACCTCAGTGGGTACCACATATGTGTTGCACAGACATACATGCAAACAAAGTAGTCATATACACAAAATAATAAAATAAACACATCTAAAAAATCTTATGAAAATACTACCTGCCTTCAACATCTATGTACACGTTCTCTAAGATTGAAGCTCTCTTGTATATATCCATATGTTTGCTTTTTGTGTCTGTGACAAATACCTGAGATACACAACTTAAGGGAGGAAAGATTTATTTTGGTCACAGCTTCAGAAATTTCAGTTCTCAGCTGTCCATTGTTGTGGGCCTGAGGCTAAGCTGAACATGAGAGGAAGCATGTGATGAGGCAGGGTTGAATATCATGGTGGAAAGCACATGGTGGAGCAGAGCAGCTCACTTTGCAGTAGACAACAAGCTGGAGACAGACAGGAGGAGCCAGGGCAAACATATGCCTCACAGTTGTGTCCTGAGCCACCTACTTCCTCATTCAATATGAACTCATTAGTGGGTCATCATTAATGAGGTGAATGCCCTCATATATAGTCACCTCCTAATAGATTCAGCAGCTGAGGACACAGTCTTCAGCAAAAGAGCTGCTTGGGGAAAATGCTGTGTGTGTTTGTGTCACATGGCAACTCTGTGACTAACTTATTTTTTTAAACTTACTTTATTTTTTTGTGTGTATGGGTATTAGGCCTGCATGTATTTCTGTGCACCATGTGCATGCAGTGCCTACAGAAGCCGGAAGAGGACAATAGATCCCCTGAACTGGGGTTTTGGATGGTTGTGAGCCCTATATGTGGATGCTGGGAATCAAACTCAGGTCCCCTGATAGAGCAACTTGTGCTCCTAACCACTGAACCACCTCTCTAACCCCTGTGACTAACTTTAAAAAAGATGCCTAATATCTTCTAAAGATAGCTCTAGTAACCTATGTGCATAACTAACAATGCAAGAGGCTCTAGTTTTTACATCTTTCCAGCCCTGATACTGTTTTTTCTTTCTTTTGAATGAGATCAGATTTAAAACCAAAGCTGGCCTCCAGTTTGAGACTTTAGCCTCTTGAGTCCTGGGATTACAGGTGTGCACCAATATGCTTGGCTTGTTTGCCCTTTTTATGCCTAGTAATTTACTTGATGACTTTGTATACACCTCTGAATAGCCCCCATTCCCTTTGCCTTAAGACTCCCCCCCCCCCCGCCTGTGTGTGTGTGTGTGTATGTGTGTATTCTTGTGTTGATGCATATATGTTTATGTGTGTTTGTGTACATATATGTTGAAGCCAGAGGAGAACCGTAGCCTTTGGTGTTTTCCTTAGGGATGTTATTTATCTCTTTTGAGATAGTGTCTCATTGGCATGGAGTTTACCAATTAGGCTAGACTGTTGGCTAGTGAGCTGCAGGGATCCTCTTGTCTCTTCCTCCTGAGTGTTGGGATTATAAGCATATACCATGAAGTGCAGGATCTTCATATGGGTTCTGAGGAGTACAAACGCACTTTACTGACTGAGCCATTTATTTCCTCTCCAGCTCCTGTGTGTGTGTGTGTGTGTGTGTGTGTGTGTGTGTGTGTGTGTGTGTGTTTAATATCCAGCTTAGTAGGTGTGAAGTAGTAAGTCATTGTGGTTTTGTATTATATATATGTATTATAATTCATTTATATTTTACTAATGACTGATGGTATTAAACCTTTTTTAGGTACTTAGAGCCATTTGTACTTCTTTGGAGTAATATCTATTCAAATCAAATCCAAAGTTTACAAGTTTTTATTTTATGTGTATGAGTGTTTTGCCTATGTGTATGTCTGTACCACATATGTAACTGGTATCTGTGAATCAGAAGAGGGCATCGGATCCTTTGGAACTGGAGTTACAGATGGTTGTGAGTTGCCATGTGGGTACTGGGAATTGAACCCGGGTTCTCTGGAAGAGTAGCAAGTGCTCTTAACCATTGATTGAATCATCTCTCTAGTCCCTGGCTCATCTTTGTAAATTAGTTTACAAAATAGTGGGTTTCCTTATGATTTTTTTTCATACATAGTTTTGGTTGGCCCTTTCCCTCACCCTCTCTGTTTTGTCCCCCATTCTCATTTAAATATTTTCAGCCCCAGTATTCCCTCTTTCACTTTTAAATCACATGTCATCTAGTAACCCCATTTCTCTGCCTTTTTTTTTTTGAGACAGGGTTTCTCTGTGTAACAGCCTTGAATGTCCTGGAACTCTGTAGATCAGGCTGGCCTCGAACTCAGAGATCTGCCTGCCTCTGCCTCTCAAGTGCTGGGATTAAACCCTGCACCACCAACTCCTGGTTTAATCCCATCTCTCTTAAAGCCTCCCTCTTCTCTTTTCTTTTTGCCCTCTACACATTCATCCACATAAATAAGGCATATATAAAAATTTAGAAGCTGGGATCTGCATATAAAAGAAAACGTGGTGTTTGTTTTTCTGAGCCTGAGTCACCTTGCTTAATATACTATTTTTCATTCCTATGCACTTCCTTGGGAATTGCATTTTTCCTTATGGCTGAATAAAATTGTTTTGTTTACATGTACCACATTTTTTATTCATTCATCATCTAGGGTGATTTCTTATTTCAAATAGAGAAGCAATGAACATGCATGAGCACACATCTCTGTGGTAGCATATAGAGTCTTTTGGTATGCCTATGAGTGGTATAGCTGGATCATATGTTTTTTATTTTTAATTTTTAAGCCACTGATTTCCATAGTGGCTATTCCATATTCCCAATAAGTAAATATTTTAGAATTTAATTAAAAAATACTAAAACATGAAATGCCTGGTGGATAGTGAGAAGTGGCTGGCTATGACACTGGCATTTTCCTTTGATGGGATAATTTTATCTTCATGTTGCTGCATGTGCCTGTGATTTGTGGTTTCACCTTGTCAGAGCAGATACTGCCCAGTGAAGTACTCTTATCAAAGCAAGGCACCTAATTGTATTTTTCTGATAGAACCTACAGGTGTTGGGTGGCTCATGTAAATGTTACTTTAATTTTTTTTTTCCTTTTTGATGTTTTGAGACAGGGTCTCATTCTATAGCCCATGCTGGCCTCTTAACTCTTTATGTAGTTCAAACTGATCTTGAACATTATAGCTATCCTCTTGCCTCAACTTCTCAAGTGCTGGGATTATAGGGTACCAGGTCTAACGGTTTACTTTTAATTTCTTCTTTGCATTCTCCCTCTCTTCATCTTAATCTTTTTCTGTTTTTCCTTTCCATTTTAGGTCGCAGTTGTTCTGATGGATACTCAGGGAGCATTTGACAGCCAATCAACTGTGAAAGATTGTGCTACCATCTTTGCTCTAAGCACCATGACTAGTTCTGTTCAGGTAAGATCCCTCCTCTTTTCCCATCTTCCCTTTCCCCTTCCTCCCTCCCTTCTGGGGATTGAACTTAGGATCTTGACAATGCTGGGCAACTCTTCTACACTGAGCTCTCTAGTCTGTCAGTTATTTTCTGTTAACACAATTCTTGTGGTTGTGTATGAGTGTTCTTTTTAGACTGTGTTCTAGTTTGCTTTTCTGTGGCTGTGATCAACCACTCTGATTAAAACCAAACTTGGGGAAGAAAAGGTTTATTTGGCTTACACTTCTAGGTCACGATCTATCATTGAGGGAAGTAAGGACAGGAACTCAAGGCAGGAATCTGGAGACAGGAACCATAAGAGGAATGCTGCTTGCTGGCTTTTTCCTGCTCATGTCACCCATCAAGAAAATCTCTTCCTGGCTCAGCAGTTAAGAGCACTGGCTACTCCTCTAGAGGACCTAGGTTCAATTCCCAGCACCTACTTGGCAGTTCACAACTGTCTGTAACTCCATATCCAGGGGATCCATAGCACCAGGCATGCATGTGGTGCACATACCTGTGCATGCAGGCAAAATAAATAAAAACAAATAAAAAGATACATCTCAAAAAGAAAGAAAGAAAATCTCTTTTAATCATGGCCATAGGACAGTCTGAGGAAATTATTCAGTTTAGGTTTCTGATTTCCCAAGTGACTTTAGGGTTGTGTCAGGTTGTTAAAAAAAATTTAACCAGCACAAGCTACATGTATAACAAACTCTTAAGCTCAAAATTATTTTTTTCTACTTATATAATTATATACAAAGTGTTCCAAGAAAAAAAAATCTCAAACCTCTTAAACTGTTGTAAACTATAAAGAAGGAATTTTTGGATTCTAGCCTTATATTCTTATTTTTCCCAAAGACTGATACTGCTGTATATAAAAATAGCCCTCATATGCTTAAATGCAGATCTTCAATTGTACAAAGCTCCATCCAGTGTTCTAAGCTTATTTGGGGCTTGTTTGAAGTAAGCCAGGGTGCTGTCAATCTGGATTTTGTTTTCTAGATTTACAATTTGTCCCAGAACATCCAGGAAGATGATCTTCAGCAGCTACAGGTAATAAGAAAGGGTAATGGGAATAGTGGCTGAAAGATAAAATATCAAGTGTTCCCTATCCTATGTGGAATCTAGACGTGAAAGCAGAAGTGGGTACTGTCTGAGGACAGAAGGAGACCAAAGAGGAGGAGGGATGTGAGAAAATGGCAGTGGGTGGGTGGGTGGTGCTGGAAAGAAGAGGCTCAGTTCCTGCTGTGCAAGCAAGAGGACCTGAGGACCTGAGCACTCACATAAAATGAACAACCAGGAGTGGTGACACATGCCTTTTATCACAGCACTCAGGAGGTAGAGGCATGTGGCTCTCTAAGCTTGAGGCCAGGCTGGTCTACAAAGTGAGTTCCAGCATGGTGGTTTGCTAACCCCAATTTTGGAGAGGTGGAAATAGGACAGTATCTAGAGTTCACTGGCCAGTAGTCTAGGCAACTGGTTAGCTCCAGGTTCAGTGAGAGACCTTGTCTCATAAACTAAGGTTGAAAGTTATAGAAGAAACCTGACATTTTCCTCTGGTCTCACATACACAGGCCACAACATACACACACACCTCACATCCACATGTGTATATATATATATATATATATATATATATGTATATACATATATATGTATATACATACATGAGCATGTACACATGCATATACCACACACACATTACACACACATAGCATAAACATACACATAAAAAACAAAAATAAAAGCAAACAGCTGTAGGTATATATTCCTCATAATTTTATGTGGGTTTTTTTTTTGGTTTTTCGAGACAGGTGTAGCTTTGCGCCTTTCCTGGAACTCACTTGGTAGTCCAGGCTGGCCTCGAACTCACAGAGATCCGCCTGGCTCTGCCTCCCGAGTGCTGGGATTAAAGGCGTGCGCCACCACTGCCCGGCGGGTTTTTTTTTAATATTTGTTTTTGTTTTTTTTTTCTTTTGACCATTTACAATTATTTATTTATGTAGGCACTCATAAAATATTTTTGTAATATACATAAGAAAAACCACATTTAGATGAGTAAGAAATACAATGGCAGGTGATAGGATTTAGTGTTTATAAACGAAACCATCAATAATTAACAGTCAGAGAAGAAATTCAAACTGTATTTAAAAACTGAAGCCATGTATTTCAACATTTCTAAATTGCAAGAAGGTATTGGGCTTTTAGAGGTAATATGGCTTACTATTTTTTCAATGATATCAAAACACTTCTAGAAACTGTCATAGATGGATTTGAAAGGAAAGAAAAAGACAAGAACTTTGGCAAGCAAAGTAGTAGTTCATAGCAGCTTGGTAAAAGTTTAAAGCTTATTAGTTTAATATGGACTTGGGGCTACTTTCTGAAGAGATGTGGAGATAGTGACACTATGTGATATTTGGAGCTAAGTGTTTTGTATAGAAGCATTAAAAATCACATGGCTTGCATTCACTCCATTTCTATTTATGCAGTGTGGTGCACATTTTCATAGTATTCAAGCTTTATTAAATAGTTATTTTTTCATCTAGCTTAGAGATTCCTCATATTAACATATTAATTTTTCCTCTTATCATAAGAACAAATGTAAATTGAAGAACATTTACATAAAAGAATATTTGTTTTTTGAGACAGGGTCTCTCTATGTATCCGTGGCTGGCCTGGAACTCATAGAGATCCACTTGCCTAAGCCTCCAAAGTGCTATGATTAAAGCCATGTGCCACTACAGCTGGCCTCATAAACATTTTAATATCATAATACATCATTTTAAAGAATTCAAGAATAAGCTGGGCGGTGGTGGCACACGCCTTTAATTCCAGGACTTGGGAGGCAGAGGTAGGTGGATCTCTGAGTTTGAGGCCAGCCTGGTCTACAGAGTTAGTTCCAGGACAGTCAGGACTGCTTCACAGAGAAACCCTGTGTCAAACAAACAAACAAATGGATCTAGTGAGATCTGGTGCAATGACTCAGTAGAAGAGTTAGGTCCCTAGGACCCCCATGGTAAGAGAAAATCAACTTCTTAAATTTGTCCTCTAACCTCTACATGTGCACACTGTTGTGTGTGTATGTGTGTGTGCACAAATAAATAAATACAAAAAAACTTAAACAAGCCGGGTGGTGGTGGTGGTGGTGGTGGTGGTGGTGGTGGTGGTGGTGGTGGTGGTGGTGGTGGTGGTGGTGGTGGTGGTGGTGGTGCACACCTTTAATCCCAGCACTTAGGAGGCAGAGGCAGGTGGATCTCTGTGAGTTCAAGGCCAGCCTAGTCTATAGAGCCCAGGACAGCCAGGGCTACATAGAGAAACCCCGTCTTTAAAAAAAAAAAAAAAAAGGTTTTGGTTGAAGTAATCCTCCACTCTGTAGCTGTCTGTTGTTGTTTGTTTTTTCTTTTTTGGGTTTTTTGGTCTTTTGGGGGGGCCTATCACCCAGCTCCCAAATAAATCACACACAGAGGCTTGTTCTTAATTATGGATGCCCAGCCTAAGCTTGGCTTAGTTTTTGCCAACTGCCAACTTTTCTTTTCTTTTTTTTTTCTGGTTTTTTGAGACAGGGTTTCTCTGTGAAGCAGTCCTGGCTATCCTGGAACTCACTCTGTAGACCAGGTTGGCTTTGAACTCACAGAGATTCTCTTGGCTCTGCCTCCCAAGTGCTGGGATTAAAGGTGTGTGCCACCACCACCTAGCAACTTTTCTTAACTTATATTATCCTGTCTATCTTTTGCCTCTGGGCTTTTCCTTTTCTATTCCTGTATACCTTTCTTTGCTTCTTACTCCGTGGCTTGCTGTGTAGCTGGGTGGCTGGCCCCTAGAGTACTCTTCCTTCTCTGGCTCCTCCTTTCTTCACTCTTTCTTTCCTCCATCTCTTATCTTCCCCCCCTCCTAGATTTCTCCTTCTATGTATTCTCTCTGCCTGCCAGCCCTGCCTGTCTCTCTTCTGCCTAGCTATTGGCCATTCAGTTCTTTATTAGACCATCAGGTGTTTTAGACAGGCACAATAACAGCTTCACAGAGTTAAACAAATGCAACATAAACAAAAGTAACACACCTTAAAATACTGTTCTACTACACCTGTCTCTCTCTTTTTTCCTTCTCTTGAGACAGGCTGGTCTTGGACTTCTGATTTTCTTGCCTCTACCTCCCAAGTGCTGTGATTACAGGTATGCTCTACTACAACAGGCCGTATCTATTGCTGAGGTGGAGTTAGAGGTGGTTGTGAGCCATCTGACTTGGCTGCAGGGAACTGAACTGTGAGAACACTGTGAGTAAGAACAGTTGAGCCATCTCTCCAGGGTTTTTGATTCCTCCTTCACAATTTTTCAAAAATCTTATCCTGTATGAAAAGGGGCCACATGTTATAGATATAGCAGTGGTTGAGATAGACACAATTATTTTTTTTTCCCTTTCAGGGTCTCTATGTAGTTTTGGCTGGCCTCAAGAACTCAGAAATCCTCCTGCCTCTGCCTCTGCCTCTGCTGGGATTAAAGGCATGTACTACCACACCCAGTGAATGGACAATTCTTACCTTCACAGGTTGAGACAGGGTTTGTCTGTGTAGCCTTGGCTGTCCTGGAACTTGCTCTGTAGATCAAGCTGGCCTCAAATTCAGAGAGATCCATCTGCCTCTGCCTCTCAAGGGATTAAAGGCATGCACCACCACCGCCTGGCTACCTTCACAGGTTTTATAGTCCAGTCTGTGAGAGAGACATGAATGAACAGGCATACTGGTCAAAGACTGCTATCAAAATACTCTGCAAACTGGATGGTATATTTTCTGCAGAATTGCTGAAAATAAAGTGTTGGGGATGGGCCAGTGAGATGGTTCACTGGGTACAGGTGATTGCATGCAGGCCTGATGCTTCAAGTTCAATCCCTGGATCCCACAGGGTGGCAGTGGAGAACCAATTCTACAAAGTTGTCCTTTAACCCACATAAAAGGGGTCTCTCACACACAAAATGAATAAGTTAAATAAGGGAGGCTGGAGATGTGGCTAAGTGGTAAAGCAACTGCTTATCACGCGTATAACCTTAGTTCAATGTCCAACATGCCATTACAAAGTTTGGTATTAAAGACTAGATTTAAAAAATTATATATGTATATGTTTGTGTGTTTGCATGCTATGGTACACACGTGGAGCTTAATTTGGGAGTCAGTATTCACTTTCCACCTTGTTGAGGCAGAACTTGTCTTGTGCTGCTGTGTGTCTTCAGCAAGGTTGCTTGGTAGCTTTGGGTGTTTGTCCTGATGCTCCATCGTCTTGCTATAGGAGTGCTGGGGTTGTAGATGCAAGCTACCACATCTGGCTTTTTGTGTGGATTCTAGGGATTGAATTTGGGTTAGGGTCCTCAGGCTTACATGCTTAAAGCTTTTACCCACTAAGTGATTTTTTCAGCCCCAAGGCTAGATTTTTGTTGTTAAGACCACATGCATTACTGTTGTATGTCTCTGGTAGCGGGTGGAGATCTAGGGGAGACTTGTAAACATTTCTTCAGCTGTCAGCCCCACTCCTTTGCCCTCCTGCAAGGAACTCAGCTTTTCATTTCTTAGCCAGTCAAGGATTCTGCTGAGAGAATGTGTTACTTCTTGGGCCTTTTGCTTCCTCCCATTTGTTAGCAGGGCATAAAAATATGCCAAAACTAGTCAGTTGCCCTCTGTTTCTTTTCGTTCATAGTGTTTGTGACAAGTTCTTTGTACTGTCATATTATTTCATGCCCCCTTTGTCCAGTGAATTTGACATTTAAGCTTCATTTTATTATACTTAACGGTGGCTTCATAAGAAGCCGGTAAATATATGCGGGAATCCTAATCTGAGTTAATTCATTCAGTCATTTGAATGGCATAGATATTTACTGTATCACCAGTATAATATATTTATTATAACAGTGCACAAAATGGGAATGTCCCTACACACTAGTCTGAGTGCTCATGGTGATTAAAGGCTACCAGGCCCAGCCAAATGAATATTTTAAGTGTTTTTTAGATTTATTTTATGTGTATGAGTGTTTTGCCTGCATGTGTGAATGTACCTGGTGCCCATGGAGGCCAGAAGAGTGTTGTATCCCCTGGAACTGGAGTTACAAATGGTTGTGAGCCTTCATGTGGGTGCTAGAATTGAACCCAGGTCCTCTGGCAGAACAAACATCCTTAACCACTGAACCATCTTACCAGCTCCCAAATATTTTTGCGAAAGAATACCATAAAACTATTTAAAGTAGTTTCAAGCCACTAACTCTTCTTTTTTAAAGCTCTTCACAGAATATGGCCGTCTGGCAATGGATGAAATTTTCCAAAAACCCTTCCAGGTAAAGCACTATGGATGTTATTCATATCTTTGTTTAGTTCACAGTTCAGCCGATCTGCCTGTTTTTAATATGACCTGTAACCTACAGGTTTTTTGTTTGTTTGTTTGTTTTTTTTTTTTTGGTTGAGACTGACTCTTGTCATATAGCTCAGACTGGTCTCCTTCAGCATGCCCTTGCCCCCTTTGAAAAGATTAGGAGAAAGTATTACAATAACTGTAATTAATCTTGCATATGCACTTGTACAGTGTTATAATTCTGTTCTGCTCTGTCACAATAGACACTGATGTTTTTGATTCGAGACTGGAGTTTCCCTTATGAATATAGCTATGGACTGCAAGGAGGAATGGCATTTTTGGATAAGCGTTTACAGGTAAGTGGGAAATCTGGATAATTACCTAAAAGTAACTTTCTCATTTGCTTTTGACTGTTGTGTTTAAAGCATATTATTGAAAATGATACTCTGTAAAATGTTTATAAATATTAGCATAAACCAGTGTACTTTTTTGTTTAAAATTTTTAAAATTACATGTATATATTTGTATGTGTGGTAGAGAGGAGAGCACTACAGTACTCATATGAAGGTCAGGACAACTTGTAGGAGTTAGTTCTCTCTTTCCACCATGTGGGTCTCAGGGATCAAACTCAGGTCAGTAGACTTGGTGGCAAGTACCTTTACTTGCTGAGCCACCTTTCTGGCCCCAGTATTTTTTTCATGGTAAAATTGAAGACCCTGAGTATATAATATATAGGCACCGTAGAGGAACTGTGAGCAAAAGGCCATTATAACTATAATTTTGAGTTGTTATTTTGAATCAGGTTCTATTTGTGTCTTTAGAATGTCATGTTTAGAATTGTAGTTCTGTCCTTAGTCATTATTATTTGCTTTGGCATATATGTATAAAACCAGCCTAATCTGTTCCCTGAAATCGAAGCACAGGAGACCTTTGTCAGTCACTGCTAGCTTATTGGATCCTCCTTCTGGCCAGCAAGCCTGCTGTTCTTCTTAAATGTCGTGCAATACCACCCCCCCTTTTTTTTAAACTTTATTTTATTTATGTACATTGGTGTTTTGCCTGCATGTATGTCTATGTGAGACTGTCTTGGAGTTACAGACAGTTGTGAGCTGCTATGTAGGTGCTGGAAATTGAACCCGGGTCCTCTGGAAGAACAACCAGATCTCTTAACTGCTGAGCCATCTCTTCAGCCTGCAATACCCTTTAAAACAAAGTCTTTAGTACCTGCTCTCTGTTAGCCAAGTGCACATTCATATACTTACTGCTTCTTGGGGTTCTGGCTCTTCCCATTGGTCACTCTGATCTGTCAGTCAGGAAGTCTTCTTTCCTTTGTCCTTATGCTAGTGGCTGTTAGTGAAGAATAGCAAATCATTTTTGGCTGGTAAAGTGTTGATTTTCCTTGGCAGGTGAAGGAACATCAACATGAAGAAATTCAGAACGTTCGAAATCATATTCACTCATGTTTCTCGGATGTTACCTGTTTTCTCTTACCACATCCAGGGCTCCAGGTGGCCACAAGTCCTGACTTTGATGGGAAATTGAAAGGTATGTTACAGACATTGTTATTGTACATATGATTTGATCTTTAGAATCCCAGAATGAGCAGTAAGTGTCAATTATAAGTCAAATGGATGGTTATGAGAATGAATATGGTCTTATAGAAAGAATAGTGTTAGTCTAGTTCAGATTTTGCTCTTGACCTACTGTGACCATCAGAAGTATTTTGCCTGTTTCACAAACTGAAAATAAGATGTTGTTCTTTAGGAATCTTTCTAAGAGACATGTTATAGTTCCCACTTTATAAGAGATTAAAGTGCTAAATAAAGGAAGACTGAAAGCTAAGACAGCTAATAATTTTCAAGTAAAATTATCTTCCTCAGGAAAAGTACCATGATACATGGCAAAGTTACTGTTTAAGCTTATTTGTGCTTGTAGCAAAACCTGATGCTGGGTCATGGGCTAACGTCAGGAAGTGCTGAGTAGTTGGTAGGTTAGAGAATCAGAGTCGGGATGCTTGGGTACCATTATCTTATTTTGTTCCCTATTCCTGGAGGCCTTGAGTCACCTGATGGCTGGCCCACAGTTTATACTTGTTAAGCAGTTTGTTTATAGGCTGATCAGGGCCTCTTAATTTTCCCTAAAACACTGATCATAGTAGGTGCCAGCTTTGCAGTCCAGTTGGGTTCCCACTGTTGTGCAAAGTGCTTTCAAACTAAATCCACAGTCATTCCATGAAGTTACATCATTTCTTTTATCTCAACATGAGGAAGCTGGTGAAAACAAGGCAAGTTAAGCAACTCACTCAAAGTTCTCAGCTAAAAGCAATGGGGCAGAGGTTCACATCCGGGTTCTGGTGCCTTAAAGCCCACACCATGGGAATAGAAGTTCATTGTTCTTTGGAGGAAGTCTTCAGAGAATATGTACTTGTTGAGTTACCAGGACAACTTGCCTTTTTAAAAATAGTCTCAGTAAATAGGAAATACATAGTTTTAATTTTTTTGATTTAGTTAATCTAAGAAGAATAATATATTTGTCTAAGTCAAGGCTAAAGAGATAACTCAGTAGTTTAGAGTGTTCTTGGGTTCTGTTCCTAGCACCCGCATCAAATAGTTCACAACTGTCTGTAACTGCAGTTTCAGAGGATCTGCTGCCTTCTTCTGACCTGGGTGCTGGCACGAACATAGGACACATATATACATGCAGCACCCCCCCATAAAAGTAGATACTTAACTTTTTTTTTAAAGTTTATTCTGTGTGTATGAGTGTTTTGCCTGCTTGTATGTTTGTGCACCATGTGTACGCCTGGTACCTGCAGAGCTCAGAAAAGTGCTGGATCCCCTGGAACTGGAGTTACTGATTGTTGTGAGCCTCCATGTGGATGCTGAAAACTGAACCTGGGTCCTCTGCAAGGGCAACAAGTATGCCTAACTGCTGAGCCATCTGTCTATCTTTTTTCCTCAAAGATTTTTTTTTTTATTTAATGTGTATGGGTGTTTTGCCAGCATATATGTCTGTGCACCACTTATGTACATATATTGCCTGCAGAGGCCAGAAGAGGGTGTCTGATCCTCTAGAACTGGAGTTACAGATGTTTTTGAACCATCATGTGGGTGCTGGAAATCCCATTGGAATCCTCTGGAAGAGCAGTGCTCGTCTGCTGAGCCATTACTCTTATCCTGTCCCCTCCTCCCACTAATAAATTTTTTAAAAACATTTACAGACCAGCTGGTCAAAGTTCTGTGGAACAAATTGACTTTGAGAGGTGTAACCTTTACCTTCTGTTTGACACTTGCATGATATGTCAAGCAGTTGGCAGCTTTTCCTGAAGGGGATACTCTGAGAGTTTGCCACTTAATGATTTGTGGGAGCCCACAAAGGTTTCCTCATTAGATCTGAGCTTGCTTTACAAAGCAGGGCTGCGTTAGGGGATGGCTTGACCACATGCATGGTTACCAGGTATCTGGGATGGTCTGCTCTTAGCTGTGCTAGGGGGAGGTCTTTTGCTCCACCCCTTGGCATTCCTTTAGGATCCAGGCCCTCCCGAGGCTATCCTGTGTTTCTGGCTCTCTCTCTCTCCAGCTGTCTTTCTATCTAATATTTCATGCTGCTCCTGCTCCTGGGGGAAAGTGGAGGTGGGATGGCACCCTACAATGATTGAGAGATTCAAGGGCAAGGCCTGGGCTTGGTAGAGATACCTGCTTAGGCAAACAGTGGAACTATAGCCTGTACCTAGAGAACTGGGAGAGAATTTTTCAGAGTTAAGTGCATGTGTGTGTGTGTGTGTGTGTGTGTGTGTGTGTGTGTGTGTGTGTGTGTGTGTTTATGTGTTTGTGTATGTGTGTGAGTAGTGATAACATTTTTTTTTTCCTTTTTATTTTTTTGGAGGGGCAGGATCTCATGTAGCCCAGGCTGGCCTCAAATTCACTTGGTAGCCAAGGGTAACTTTGGTCTTATCTTCCCACCTGACTGCTGGGATTAAGATACACACCACTGCCCAGCTGTAATGTTCTTTCAGTGTTATGGCACTTCATGATTAGCTGTATTTTTACAAAATCTAAACTGTTGGATTTTTGTTTGTTTTGAGTTGAGGTCTTGGTATTTTGACCTGCCTTACCTGGGAGTTGATATGTAGACCAGGCTGACTTTGAACTTGGAGCAGTTCTCTTGTTTCCACTTCCTAAGTGCTGGGATTACAGACATATTCTACCACACCTGGTTTAGGAGGATGGACCAGAGTGACTTTTCATGCCATTGTCTCATGGGGAGGTCAGGTTACCAGATATAAGCATAGAAAAATGGCATCCTTTCTTATTTTAAGGCATTTTAATATTTCAAAGCCTTCTGTTTTGAAACTAAGTTTCATTTTAACATTTTTATTTAGAAAGTGGGCAATTTTTAAAAGTTGTTTGACTATGACTTGAAGGTATATTGTTACTGGGATGCACGTTGTTTATATTCCAGTGGTTGCCTTTAACAAGTTACTACAAGCTAGGCAGCTTAAGACAACAGAGATTTATTCCTTTACAGTTCAGGAGGCTAGAAGTGTGAAGTAGTGGCTGGTTCCCTCCAGGGTCTCTGAGGAGAACCTATCCCACTTCTCTCTCCTGGCCCCTGGGAGGTGATGGCAATCCTTGGCATTCTTTGGCTGTGGTTGTACCACTCTTACACTCTTATCTTTTTTGTTGTCACATGACTGTCTTCTTTGTATGTTCTTCCTCCTACCAGCCCATCTCTGGATTTAAGGCCCCCTCAGAGCCATTTTAAGTCCTCATTTTAGTGAATCACATTTGCTGGGACACCTTCCAAATAAGGTCACATTCTGAGGTTACATATGGGCATGTTTGGGGGAGGCAGCGCTATTTACTCCATTGTCCATACATAGTTTACAGGTGGTTTAGTCACTAAACAGGAAGTATGTTGTTTCACACTGTATATGTTTATGAGACAGGGAGCAAATTTAGTGTAAGCAGTCTCCAGTCTCATGACTAGGAACCATTTGGTTCCCTCATTCAAGGTAGAACTATATTTTTTTAAATTATTTTTTGAGACAGGGTCTCACTATATAGTCTTAGCTGTCCTTTGAAATTTACTATGTATGTAGACCAGGTTGGCCATGAACTCACAGAGATATTCCTATCTCTGTTTCTGGAATGCTGGAATTAAAGGTGTGCACCACTATGACTAGCCTCAAAATAGAACTATAAAATAAAATAGGGTTTAAGTCTTTTTTTTAAATATATATATGAGAAGGCAAGTCCAAGAAGGGCTGGAGGTATGTAGCTCATTTATAGAGGCTTCCCTGGCATGCATGAAGCCCTGAGTGTGATCCTTAGCATTGAGCAGAAACCAAAAAGCAATCAAACAAAACAGCCCAAACCCAGTTACAGATCCTAATCTCCAAATTCCCAAACCCAAATTATTGAAAATAGTGAGCCATTACAACAATCAGAAAAACAAAAATATATTAGTATGTTGCAGTTTTTTTTTTTCCTTCCCCCGAGACAGGGTTTCTTTGTAGACCAGGCTGGCCTTGAACTTACAGAGGTCTGCCTGCCTCTGCCTCTGCCTCCCGAGTGTTGGGATTGAAGATGTGCACCATTGCTACCTGGCTGTGTTACAGTTTTTATGCATAGTAATTTGGTAATATGAAAAATTTAAATGCCTTTTCTTGGATCTAAAATTATAAAATACCCATCTATAAATCTAAAAATTCAGTCACTTAATCTGAAAGTACAGTATCACTTAGCAACAGTGATAAAGTCTAAGATCTACTTACATTTGTACCCTTCCTTCCTGTCACATTTAAGTCCTTTCCAGTTCAGAATAGAATAAAGAGACTATCCTTATCTAGCCAGGCAGTGGTGATGCATGCCTTTAATCCTAGCACTTGGGAGGCAGAAGCAGGTGGATTTTTGTGAGTTCAAGGCCAGCCTCGTCTACACAGTGAGTTATAGGACAGCCAGGGTTAAACGGGAAAAAAACACTTTTTCTTGTGTTTCAATTCTGGCTAGCAAACAGTCTTCACCCCCTTTCTGCAAGAGTTTTGTTTTGTGCTCATTTTGGCTTTTTGTTTCTTTATGATCCTGTATATAGATATTGCAAGTGAATTCAAAGAGCAGTTGCAGGCACTGATACCGTATGTACTAAACCCATCTAAGTTAATGGAAAAGGAGATCAATGGCTCCAAAGTCACCTGCCGGGGACTGTTGGAATATTTTAAGGTAAATATGAGTTTTAGTTCTAAACTTTTTTTTTTTTTTTTTTTGTAAAATTGATTTTATTGTTAGTGGTTTTCTCTGGGAGATGGTCAGAGGCATTTTACAACCATAGTATCCTTCCAGGAGTGGGCCACTGGGTGGCAGTATGGGCATAAGAACCAAATGATGTTCTTTGCACTCTCTTAGAGTAGTCATTACCGTGTCTTCAAGGAAGATGATGTGGACAGGAGGTGGTTAGGAGGTTGCTGTGAGTAGGAGACGCACGTAAATGGGACGCAACTATCTCCAGGTGGATAGTCTCTGCCCACAGGTCGTGGTGAGACCATTGTGCATGGGGGCCTGACTGTAATCTTGGCCTTGGTAGGCTTGTGCTGCTTGAGAGTACTTTTAGATAACTAAAAATGCTAACATGCACTCAGAAGTGTGTCCTGCTTCTGCTAATTCTTGATTGTTGATCTAGGATTTTAGGAAAATGCAGTTGTGTGGTTTCACTATTTTAAAATATGAGCAAAATATTTTAGAATTGTATTTTTGTGATTGCTCCTATGTTTATGTTTTAAGGCATATATTAAAATTTACCAAGGAGAAGATCTGCCTCATCCAAAATCCATGCTTCAGGTAATAAAGTCTTTGGTATCCTAAATTACATGTTGTAATTGCTGGAATTGGCCCAGATATGACATAACTGAGTCCTGAAGAGGAGAGCAAGACCACTCTCCTTCTTATAGCCTTACCTTGACTTTTGAGAGCACATTTGCAGCAAGTGTGTGTACCCTCTGCTTCATCTGTGTTCTCTGTAGGGCAGTTAATACATTTGGGGCTGCTCTCCTTTCACGACTCACTTGGGAAACACTGCTTTGCTATACGCAGCTGAAGTATAGTTGCTGTGTTAGACAAGCCACTTCCAGTCATTGGTGCTGTACTTTGTTATAACTTTGGCTCTGGTCCTGAGGATTCATTGGTCATTTGGTTAAAACAGCCTCTCACTTTCATATGCTGAATATGTGGGCATTTATTGCTAAATACTGGTTTCTTTAGTAGCAAAATATTTTCACAAAATCACTGGACCTCGTGATTGATAGTATAAATGAAATTTTTGCCCTTGTTTTTGTTTTTCTTTTTTTGAGGCACTGGGATTAAACTCAGGTGCTTACACTTTATAGGTTAGGTAAGTGCTCTACCACTGAGCTTCCTCCCCAGTCCAAAGTATGCAACTGTTAAGGTGGAAATTGAAGTAAAGGGAATGATATTTTCTTGAGTTTTGGAGGTTTGGTTTATACTAAAGATTCTTAAGTGCTAGGATAGATGTTTTGGCACAAAATTTGGCAAAAGTATATATTTTATCAGTTGAATTATATGGAAATATAAATAATGACAGGTTAATAAAAAAAGAAAGAATGAGAATAAGCGATATTTTTGCTTGGTTTCTGGGAAAAAGTTTCAAGAAGTATTTATAGTTCATACTTTTCTTTCTTAAAAGGCCACTGCTGAAGCCAACAATTTGGCAGCTGCAGCCTCTGCCAAAGATATTTATTACAGCAACATGGAGGAGGTATGTTGGTAACACCTTTTTTTCTGGAGTGTCTATTTCTCTATTTCCTGAACATGACTGTTGACTTCAGAGGACCAAACTTTATCCTACTCAGTGTAGCCTTTTTGTTTGAGATAGGGTTTTATGTACTAGGCTGCCCTGGAAATCACTGTGTAGTAGAGGCTGGCTTGAAATGTCTGATTGTACTGCCTTTACCTCACTAATGCTGTGGCACAGGAATGTGCTTTAAAGATTTGTTTGTACTTATGAATCTTTGTGAGTTTATGACACATATATGTGGGTGTTTACGGACGCCAGAAGAGGGCGTTGGATCCTCTGAAGCTAAGGTTTCAGGTGTTTGTGAATGGCTTAGCATGTGTGGTGGAAATGTAACCTGGTTATTTGGGAAAACTGAAAGCCCTCTTTAAACTACTAGCTGTCTTTACAGTCCCAGCTTAATGTGTCTTAAGATGATGAGACACAAAGCTGTTTTTCAGGTCACCCTGGTAATTCGGATGTTCTAATTATTTTTTAAAATTTTTTCTTTACTTTTGAAACAGAGTCTGTATAATTGGGATCTTCTAGTTATTTTTGTTTTTCTGAGACAGGGTCTTGATATGTAGTCCAGGTTGGTTTCAAACTCATGACAATCCTCTCATGACAAGTCTCCTGAGTCTTAGATTGTAAATGTGTGCTGCTATGTGTATTATTTCTTTTCTTTTAAGATTTACTATTTATTTATGTGTATCTGTACCTGTAGGTACCTGAGTGGGCCAGAGGTGGGCATTAGATCCCCTGGAGCTCTAGTTACAGGAGGTTGTGAGCTTCCTGATTGTTTGCTGGGAACTGAACTCTGATTGTATGCAAATGCAGCAAGTGTTCTTAACTGCTGAGCCATCTCTCCAGCCTCTCTGTGTCTGGTTATTAACCATTTCTAACCAAGCTTTCTCAAGAGTATTTTTGTTGTTTCTAATTAGTGTTACCCTGTTTTTTCTTTTTTTTTTATTTTAAAATTAATTATCATATTTGTATACAAGGGCTTGCTATGTAGCCCTGGTTGGCCTGGAATTTATATCGACCAGCTCCAGCTCTATCTCTTGCCTTTGCCTCCTGAGTGCTGGGATTATAGATATATACTAGTATGTCTGGCTTTGGCCTTGGCTATTTGTCTTTTCTGACTTTTAAAAAAAATTTTATATGCATTGGTATTTTTGCCTGCATGTATGTCTGTGTGAGTGTTGGGTCCCTTGGAACTGGAGTTACAGACAATTGTGAGCTGCCATGTGGGTGCTGGGAATTGAACCTGGGTCCTCTGTAAGAGCAGTCAGTGCTCTTAACCGCTGAGCGGTCTCTCCAGCCCCTTTTCTGACTTCTTTTTTTTTTTTTTTTTTTTTAAAGATTTATTTATTTATTATGTATACAGTATTCTGCCTGCATGTGTCCCTGCAGGCCAGAAGAGGGCACCAGATTTCATTACAAGTGGTTGTGAGCCACCATGTGGTTGCTGGGAATTGAACTCAGGACCTCTGGAAGAGCAGTTGGTGCTCTTAACCGCTGAGCCATCTCTCCAGCCCTTCTGACTTCTTATTAAAGTAGGATCTCGTGTAGCCTAGGTGGGCCTCAAACTCTATGTAGTTGAGAATGATCTTGGACTTTCTGATCCTCTGGTAACCACCTCTGGAATGTTGGAATTATACATGTGCACCACAATACTGATTTATATGATATTGAGATTGAACCCAGGGCTCTGCATACTAGGCAAGTACTCTACCATATGTGTTATGTCCTCAGTCTCCCTTGAATATTTTCTGAAGTTAACTTCTAAGCTTTTTTTCTAAATTCTTAAGAGCATTCTAATCTTTACTGTCTCTTTTTACTTGTTTTATTTGGTATGAACAAGAATTTTCATCATGTGTTTTTGTCATTTTTAGGTTTGTGGGGGAGAGAAACCTTATTTGTCTCCAGACATTTTAGAAGAGAAGCACCAAGAATTCAGACAACTCTCTTTGGACCACTTTAAGAAGACCAAAAAGATGGGTGGGAAGGATTTCAGCTTCCGTTACCAGCAGGAGCTGGAAGAGGAAATCAAGGAACTGTATGAGAACTTCTGCAAACACAATGGCAGCAAGAATGTCTTCAGCACCTTCCGAACCCCTGCAGTTCTGTTCACAGTCATAGCAGCGTTATACATAGCCTCGGGCCTCACTGGCTTCATTGGGCTTGAGGTTGTGGCCCAGCTGTTCAACTGTCTAGTTGGATTGCTGTTAATAGCACTCCTTACCTGGGGGTATGTCAGGTATTCTGGTCAGTATCGTGAGCTGGGTGGAGCTATTGACTCTGGTGCAGCATATGTGTTAGAGCAGGTGAGTGGTGCTGGCTGAGGCTAGGGTGTGTGGGGGGGTCTGTGGTGATTGTGTTTATGTTGTAAAATTTGGAAGAATTTCATAGTGAAAAAAGGGGTTAAGCCCATTTTCTTATAGGCTTTATATTTTATTCTTTTTTAGTATATTAATACTTAATCCTGATACTTCCTTTTAATGCCAAAAATGGCCCTTTAATGCAAAAAAAAAACCAAAAAACAAAAAAAAAAAGCAAACAAAAAACGGTCTTTGATCTACTCTGTTTCTCCTGGAGCAGTTTTATTTTTATTTTATTTTATTTTTTATTTATTTTTTTTTTTTGGTTTTTCGAGACAGGGTTTCTCTGTGTAGCTTTGCGCCTTTCCTGGAACTCACTTGGTAACCCAGGCTGGCCTCGAACTCACGAGATCCACCTGGCTCTGCCTCCTGAGTGCTGGGATTAAAGGCGTGCGCCACCACCGCCCGGCTTATTTTTATTTTTAATTAATTGTTTTGGTTAACATGCAGAGTAGTGGGGTTCTTTATGGCATCTTCATATATACTATCATTTATGTCTTCAAAATACAATTTTTTTTTCCTTGGTTTTTTGAGACAGGATTTCTTTTTTTTTTTTTTTTTTTTTTTCGAGACAGGGTTTCTCTGTGTAGCTTTGCGCCTCTCCTGGAACTCACTTGGTAGCCCAGGCTGGCCTCGAACTCACAGAGATCCGCCTGCCTCTGCCTTCTGAGTGCTGGGATTAAAGGCGTGCGCCACCACCGCCCGGCTGAGACAGGATTTCTATGTAACAGTCCTAGCTGTTCTGGAACTCACTCTGTAGACCAGGCTGGCCTTAAACTCACAGAGATCTGCCTGCCTCTGCCTTCAGAGTGCTGGGATTAAAGTCGTGCACCACCACTGCTTGGCTGCAAATGGTTTTTGAGATTGACATAATCTGAGATTTTTTTATTTTTAAAGTTTAAGTTTGTTACTATTGTGTGTGTTGTGTTGTATATGATATGTGAATGTGGGTGTATGAGACCCAGAGCACAAGATGTGGAGGTTAGAGGACAACTTTGTAGAGTCAGTTTTTGTCATTTACCTTTATATGGGTTCTGGGAATTGAACTCAGGTCGTTAGGGTTGAACAGCAAGTATTTACCTGATGAGCCATCTTGCTAGCCCATTTGGTTTTTATTTGTTTGTTTGTTTGAGATAGTCTCATGTTGCCTAGGCTGGTTTCAGAGTTCGTAATTAGAAGATGAACTTAAACTCTCGAACTTCTGATTTTGCTGTCTCTAAAGAGCTCTTAAGTGCTATATAAGTGCTGAGGGTATAGGCATATCCTATATGCTATTCCTGGCTGAGCTCCAGTTTTCATAAATGGATTTTTGAGAAAGGGTCTTTCCATAGTTTAGGATGGCCTGGAACTCACTGTGTAATGCAGAATGGCCTGAAATATCTATAATCCTTCTACCTCAGCCTCCTGAGTAAATTGCATTGCAGGTGTGTACCACTACAGCTGGTCATTTTGTATATTTTTAGCACAAGTTTGTTTCTTTTTCTGTAGCATAAACAGATCTATTAGGTCAATGGTGTGAAGCCTCCACCTCCTCAGCAGAGGAGCATATGCTCCTCTGACCCTTACGAGTCAGCTATGGCCGTGGTTTCCTCTCACCACTTGGTGTCATTCACTGCTGATGAGGAAAGATAATTAGAAGTTATAGCCTAGGACTTAGTTGTTTGTTTTTTGTTTTTATGCTGTGTTGTAGTTTAATAACTAATACATTAACCAAATGAACTTTTGCAGGCTTCTTCTCATATTGGTAATTCTACTCAGGCTGCAGTGAGGGATGCCATCGTTGGGAGACCACCTGCGGATAAAAAGGCTCAATAGCATCTTAATGGCAAGATTCAACAAAAGCCTAGTCAGCACCTGTGTTTCTGCAAATGCCATCATGGGTCCAGTTCCAGAGGAATGGCTGATCTGAGACCATCCTGGAAGAGCTGAGACAGGGCACCGTAATAAATGAACTGACCTCTCCTGTGGTTTCCAATTCCACTTGTCTTGGAAGCATTTCTTTTTCTTGCCGACAGACCCAAGGCTACTCTCTTCTCTCTTTGCTTTGTGCACTTTAAGGGGTGAGGGTGGGGGCCAAAAGGAAAACATGGAAATGCAGCTTTTAAGTCTTTGATGTGCCACATAGTGCCTTTTAGGACCAGTCTGTGCCTCTGCCATCCAGGAAGGCTGAGGCATGGAGGACAACCTCATGAGATGCGGTTTTGGATCAAGTTCTCTTGGATTTTGGATTTCAGTTCTTTTGTACCTTTGAAATTTGTTTTTCAAAAGTTTATACAACTTGAAAAAGGCTCAGAACTAAAGGCCGACTGAAATGATACTTATTACACTTAAACAATTTCCCCCAGTACTGGTGATTGAACCTAGCACCTGACAGGCTAGGTGATTGGTCTACCCCGGAGCTGTCCCTGCCCGCTTAACTGTGCAGTCTCAGGTCTTGAAATTACTTTGTTCCCAGGTTGGCTGTGAGCTTTCCATCTTCTTCCTTCCTCTCTAGCTTCTTGAGTAGCTTGAATACAGACCTGGCTACCTTGCTTCAAAACCTTATTTATATGAATTACCTTTGCTATGCATCATGGAAAAAGTTAAATCATTTAATATTCTGTGTTGGAGAATATAAGGTCTTTTACACAGTAGGCTGGCAGTTTTATTGAACTTACATTTTTATTTTTATTCCTATAGCTTCTTTCTAGAAAAGAGGCAAACAGTTCTTAAAAAAAAAAAACAGTGGTTAATAATAAGCTAGATACTTCATGGTAAAATTGTAGTTTGAGTGAACCATGTGACCTCTGATAAGTCACTTGAACTTGTGTCTTGGTCAGATTCACTGTACATTTATGTATGTATGTGTCACTCTCAAAATTAGTCATTTTCAACAGAGAAAAGACATTACCAAATATTACTTCTTTTTTATTGTTCAATTTCATGTTGCTTAGTGGTAATACCAAATAATCATAATCTGATCTAAAGTCTTTATTCAAACTTTTTAGTGGGGGTGATGTCTCACTGCGTTGCCCTGCCTGGCCTGGAACTGTCGATACAGACCAGGCTAGCCTTGAACTCATAGAGATCCTTGTGCCTCTGTGTGCCACTGTGCCTGGCCCCAAACTGCTTTTTATTCTGTGTACTGTCCAATGTTCATAATATCAAAGCTAAACTGTTAATTTTATTTAGTTAACTTTCCTTTTTTTCCCTTGAAGAAGGCACTCAGTCTAGCTGAACTATTTAAAATTCCCTCTTGATTCTCCTTTTGGTTAGACTGGCAGTTTTAAAATAACTGGCTTATGAAGGACAATTGCTCAGACTCTAAAATCTCCTTTTTACATTTACCTTGATTATGTAATGAGGTTTTATCTATTTTTTTCCTTTGACTTTGTAATGGTGAATTATTGTGAACTTAAACCTTAAAACATGCCTGCAGGTATAGAAGCCTTTAGTTGTTTTTAGGTAATTTGAAATTTTGTTGTGGGAAGGAGATAGACTGGTTTTGGCAAAACCTAGTAAAATTTTATGTACATGAAGTATGAATGGAATGTAGAAAAAAGGAAGTCTTGCATTTAATTTCCTTATCAGAATTTTCTTCTTACTAAGTTTTCCAATCAAGGATTTAAAAATTCTGAATCAATATTAAGCATTTTACATATTTTCATACCATCTTGTCCTGAAATTCGTAGCAATTTTTCCTTTTGTTGTGCCATCTGGGAACAATTCCAGTTTGTTTTAAAACTGTTCACTGCTTTTGAATGATGACTGACCATGAAAGGGGTTGGAAGCTCAGTCCTGTAGTTGTACAGTTTTCAGGTAGTGTCCCCTATCTGAAAGCTTGTACTGAGTGATGGGCTCTGGATACTGAGATTCGGTTCGAGAGGGCTTTGGGTATATGGTCTTGTTATGTAGTCCAGGCTGGCTTATAACTTGCTTTGTAGTTCAGACTGACCTTGAACTTAAGGTTCTGCTGCCTCAGCCTTCCAGAGTGCTGAGCTTGTAGGTGTGTGTCCCCATGCCCATCTCTAGTTCTACTCTATTTGTTTGTTTTGAATTTTGGCTTTTTGAGACAAGACAGTGTTTCTCTGTGTAACAGCCTGGCTGTTCTGGAACTCGCTTTATAGACCAGGCTGGTCTTACAGAGAAACCTCACAGAGGTCCACCTGCCTCTGCCTCCCCAGTGCTGGGATTAAAGTTGTGCGCCCCCACCGCCACTTGGCTCTACTCTTAATGGTAAGAAAAGATGATGTGGGAAAGATTTGCTGTAATACTTCAGTATTACATCTGTGTATGAATTTAAAGTGAATGGTCTGTTAATTAACTTATTCTGCTTCTGGTACATGTTTATAAAGTTATCTTTGAGGGTTCTTGTCCTCTTTTCTAACTTAAATTGTTGATTTTTGGTCACATTTTTCAGTACAAAATGCCTTTGATGACTGGCTAGAAGTAGTCCTGAGGAGATTCATAACTGGTTGAAAGAATCTTTTAGCACCTCCAGCCTTTTCTTTGTGGTGTAGGAGTCAGACCAGTGTCCCCACAGACTTTCTGTGCAGGCGATGTTAATTTGTGCACTTCTGTCAATATGTGGAGCACATTCCTATGAACAGAGATTTCCAAAACATTCCATTAAAAATAACTCACTTCAGGAGAAGCTAAATGTTGCCAAGATATTCTCGGTTTTGTTTGGGGATACTTGGGATGGAACCCCATGGCTGTGTGTATGGCAGGTATTTGCTCTGTCCACCAAGTTAAACACTTCAGTTTGCCTTCTACCTACTATCAAATGGATAGAATCACAGCTTTGAGTCCTTTGCTGAGAAGTCTCATGATTTATCACTTCACACATCCCTTTTGAAGAGTACCAAAAATCTGTTTCATAGATGCTTGTAACTTCTCTCTTATTTCTTTCCTTTTTCCCTCCCTTTACACCCCTTCTCTCTTCCTTTTTCTGTGCAGCTCCAGCCAGAGGTTTATGTTTGATACTTGCTTTATACTGGGTCAAGTTGCTATAAATATTTGTGTTTGATTTGCTTTCTCTCTCACTCACTTAAGGCAGACACGCACATAGTACATAGGCGCAAGCACTGTGTTTTCTTTGCTGTTTCTTTAGGAGGTCACACACAGTGGTACCTGGGATATGTAAATGAGACAGAAATTCAGTAGGTTAATTTCAGCCTAAGCAAAAAAACAAACAAAAAAACAATTTTTCCCCCAAAAAGTGACATGGAAGGATTAAAAAAAGATCTATTTTGTTGGTGTTGGTTTTTTGGAATGTAATTGAGTATGATTTGATTTTTCCATCAGGTGGCCAACATCTCTGCATCCTTCTACCTAGCATGTGGAGCTAATACAATTTCTGTCAGGAATGAGGCTATAAGTAAGCCTCCATTTAGCAAAGTATTCCCTGTTTCATGTGGCCTGTTGTAGTGGGTTACAGTTGTTTTCCTCAGGAGCTGTACTGTAGCTCTATCTTGGACATTGGTTCTCATCTACCTGTTCATGCTTTAGACTAATCTATGGGGTGTGTTGAAAGAAAATCAGACTCTGCTTTGTATCTAGGGGTTGTTGCAGTGGTTTTGCACTGTGGCCTTGAGGTCAGATTGGTGGGTGGGGGTGGGGATGGATGAGTGAGAATGAACTGATTCACTGAGTGGGAGTACTCAGACAGGAAGTGCACTTCAGCATTTCCAGAAGCTTTGCTGCCAGGTCTGCTCACCCAGAGTTTACTATGTTTAGAATCATCAGGGTGCCTTAATTTAGAGGCTTGTCCAAGCTTTTTAAAGCTATCATAGTGCCTTTTCTTATATACCTGCCCTCATACACCAACTGGTAATTAGGATTTTTCTTTTTTTAAGAAATGTTTCATACTCTGAAGAAGCCAAATTGGGCACTGTGACTCGAATCCCTAAATTTTTGTTGTCATGGTTGTTGTTTTGTTTTGAGAAAGGATCTCAGTATGTGACCCTGGCTGTTGTGGAACTCATTGTATAAACCAGACTGGCCTTGAGTTCACAGGATCAATCTGTCTTCTTCAAATTCTGAAATCTTTTACACACAGAAAACCCTGAATGACTAATAACAAATGACTAATGAACAAAAAGGATGGGATCATAACTATGAAAGTAGTCACCTATGCACCCCAAAGCAGCAGCATCACAAGAAAGCTCTTATCAATAAACAAGAAGGTTTCCTATGGGAATGAATCTTATGTTCCAGACTTCAAGTTCAATGTTATGACCAAGGGAAGGGTCACATTGATGCCCAAACCTTTTTAGGTGATCAAAGTTGTTAGGGATGTAAGCCTTAAAAGAGTTTAATTTTAAACATATGCAAGTTGTCCTCAATTTTATTTTAAAAATGATTTGTTATAAGTACTTTCTGCTAGATCCTTGCCTTTGAATGGCTTTAAAACAATACAGTTATTTTAAAAAGTGTATTGGGAAGCAATGATGCTGTTCTGTGTTGAAGGCTCATTTTTGTTTCCTTTCTGGGTTGTATATTCATTTAATGGATTAAAGATTACAACACCATGTTACTTGTGTTTGTTGTTACTGTTCTTTCTTTTGGAATACCTATGGGACAGAGTGGGGCTTGGCAAGAGGAATTGACAAGTCAGCTTACTTAGCCCTCCACAGTGATACTTAGCTAGTTAGCAGTGAGCTGGAAAGGGAATTTGCCAGCTGCTTGAAAGTCAGCAGTGTATAGTCTTGAGATTTGTCTTGTGCAGTGTCTTCTAGTTTGTAACACTTCTAGTGGGCTGCTTGGAGCCAGAGCCAAATGTATTTAAATAGAATCTCGCAGTGGGGTGGATAGAGGGAGATCTGTGCTAAAAGTTTTACTCTCCACTGGTGACCTGGGAGGCAGTGGGGAAGTAGTACTGTGTTTCTTCAGTCCTGAGAACGGTTTGTGGTGGTCACTATGTAGCCTTGACTGATCTGGAGCTCACTTTGTAGTTCAGGTTGGCTTTGAATTCACAGAGATCCACCAGCCTCTGCCTTAAGACTTTAAAAGTGCTGGGATAAGAGTATGCCACTATACTGGGTGTTTCTCTTTCTCTCCCTCTCTCTCTCTCTCCCCCCCCCATCTCTCTCTCTCTCTCCCCCTCTCCCTCTCCCTTTCCCTCTCCCCCTTCTCTTTGAGACAAGAGTCTCATATTGCCTGTCAACGTAGTCATGATGCACGGTGAATAATGTTTAGGGGAACTGTGAGAGAGGCTCCTGTAGACAAATTGCTAAATGGTCTTATTAAATAAAAACCCACATCCAGATATAGAGGTGAAAACCTGAGAGATCAGAGGAATAGGAAAAGTCACCAACCTCACCTCACTGACACCTCAGTCTCCAATGAGACCTTCTTTCTGTATACCCACATCTATATGCCTTTCTGTTCCGCTATCTCATTTGCTCTCCTGTCCAAATACATCACTTCCTCTTCCTGCCCAGCTCTGTCACTTCCTGTCTGTCTGTACAGACCTCCAGACCTCTATGGTTAGTGCTGGGATTAAAGGCTTATGTTACCACGTGTGACTATGTTCCCAGTGTGGCTTTGAACTCACAGAGATCCAGACAGATCCCTGCCTTCCGAATGGTAGGATTAAAGGCATGTGCTACCATTGCCTGACTTCTATGTTTACTATAGTGGCTGGCTTTTCCCTCTGATTTTTCAGGTAAATTTTATTGGGGGATGTAGCAGGAATCTTAGAAGGTCTTATTAATAAAATCAAACCTGAGCCAGGTATTGGGGTGAATGCTGGAAGATCAGAGAAGCAGAACAAGCCTCAGCTACCTCACCTCAACAGTTCCTCAGCTGATCCTGTTTCCTTAGACTGGAAACCTCTGAGTCCTCATCCAGAATGAATCTCAGCTGAACTGTTATTCAGAAGTCTAAAAGCTTAACCAGGCCAAAAGCTTCTATTTCCTGGTCTTCACACCTTATATACCTTTCTGCTATCTGTCGTCACTCCCTGGGATGAAAGGCTCACTTTCTGGGATTAAAGGCATGAGTCACCATGCCTGGCTGTTTCCAATGTGGCCTTGAACTCACAGAGATCCAGAGGGATTTCTGCCTCTGGAATGCTAGGATTAAAGGCGTGAGTGCCACCATTTTCTAGCCTCTGTACCTAGGGGTATTCTGTTCTCTGACCCCAGATAAGTTTATTAGGGTGCACAATATTTTGGGGAACACAATACCACCACAGGGGGACATAATACATCACATTTCCCCTTTTTTTGTCTAAAAAAGTTATAACTAAGAAAAACTACAGTAAGTACAGTAACTACATTACATAAGCAAAAATACATCAGTAATGTCTAGTCCATTTGCATTTGACAAATTCAGCGAAAATATTCCATTATCTATCATATTTTGTTGAATCCTAAATGTACCTAATTCACTTTCTATCCTAACTTATTAACAGAAAACTATCTTATGTCTTTCAAATTTATACATTTTAGACCTCTTAGTTTCCTTTCTGAATTTCCCAACAAAAAAAATATAATCTTCAACTCCCTCAGAGACCCAAGAAGGAAATAATATTACCTAGTAAAACAGGAAGTGCAAGTAAACAACTTCCAAAAAATGTGAGTTATGACAGAAACAGCTAGTTTCCTGGACAGTCACCCGAGGTTTCTCTGCAACATTGGGGCATCATCTTTGGCCTGCAAGCTTAGCATATCTGACAGACTCATTTGTGAAGCAGGATGTTCGCAAGGCCTACAGCTTGACCTCACATTCGATGGGAGTATTCCATGTACCAGATAAACTTGATTTCCACCAGTGTCATGTCATGATTCAGGATATTAAATTCTGGAAATTGCTGGTGTTTTTGGAATTCGGCTTCCCATTCTTCTTTCTCGGCTTGTGGGTGGCTTCATCTCCTTTATTAATTGCCAGTCTACCATTGAGAGGCCAGACAGACTCTGTCAGTCTAGTTACTCCTCCAAGAACAACTGTTCAATTGCACACCAGGAGTCATGGGTCCTCTGCATTCTCAGCTGCCTTCAAAGGAAGGGGCACTGTACCTTTTCCAGATTACAAAGCCACTTCAGCAATGGTGCCATATTGCCCTGGCCTCAGAGTATGCCTTTTGCCAAAGCTGCAACCACACTTGTCTTGCAAGGATCGGTAGTCCGTGTGTGTGTGTGTGTGTGTGTGTGTGTGTGTGTGTGTGTGTGTGTGTCTTGTTTGTCCATTTTGGACAGCATACCGTCAGCAGTTGATGCAAGGGCACTTTCTTGCCCGGTGGCTGACTTTTGCCACAGTGAAAGTAAACTCCATGTGGAGGTTCTTCAATGCCCATATCTTCTCTGAAGTAGATTGGTGCTACCAGGAGCAGACATGTCTCATAGTCATAAAAAAAGAAAAAAATCTGTTATTAAAACATTTTAAATGTCATATTCTATAGATCTCTGAAGGGTTTGAAGATGACTTGTCTGTCTAAAATATATCTCTGCTTAACCTTGAAATTAAACCTGCTTAACCAAGTAGAATTGTAATGACTACTAACTTTCATTTCTTTATATCCTAAGAATTGGTAATAATAACTTTCAAGGATTAGCAAATTGCGTTACATTGTTAAATGAACTGTATAGGTACAATATCTTGAACAAGATTAGAAATATATGTACAATATATTCTAACAAAATCAATCTCAAATTTGTAGCAATATACATAATTTGTATACAATATACAAAAATTCAATCCAATGTAAAATATTTAAAGCTAGTCGTTGCCTTTTAAAAGTAGATTCAATAATCTACATTTTATCTATATCATATCTATATCATCTTTTTTCTTTTCACAGTAGATTCAATAATCTACCCTTTATTCTATCATTTCTGTATCTTTTTTTTTGTTGTTTTTTTTTTGTTTTTCGAGACAGGGTTTCTCTGTGTAGCTTTGCGCCTTTCCTGGGACTCACTTGGTAGCCCAGGCTGGCCTCGAACTCACAGAGATCCGCCTGGCTCTGCCTCCCGAGTGCTGGGATTAAAGGCGTGCGCCACCACCGCCTGGTTCATTTCTGTATCTTTTTTTCAGAGTAGATTCAATAATCTACCTCTTATCTATATCCTCTTTTTTCTTTTTCTTCTCTTCAAACAAGAACCTTTAATCTCCCTTGTTTAGCCTTTTTCCTGACCGTTAACAATAACAACTTGTAACCTACCATCCTAAACAATGACAATTATCTAAAACCCATTGGAAGACCAAAAACCACCCACCCCACCTCTTGGGAATGTGGACGTTGTGTTCTTAAAATTACTTCTTGCTGTTTGGGGGTGAAGGCATCTTTAGGAGATTCTGAAAAGAAAAATTTTGCATTAATTATCAAGTCCAGGGAAAGGTAGCTGTATCATTTGTTGTCCAGTCTCTGCATAATGCAAAAGTGCAGGGCTTATCTCAAGTCCTTGTTCTAGTAGTCCGTGAAGCTGGATCACTTCAGCTAGCCATCTCAAAATTGCCCTGAGCAGTGTGTAGTCCAAAGCTGATCTTTGGGTGATGTTTGTCAACTTAGTGGTATTATTATTGTCCATGTGGAATCTTCTTTGTGGGGCCCCATCATCCTTTTGGAGACTTCAAATTTGCTGTTAGGCCTGGTCATGATTCCCTGCAGAAAACTGATAGAGACTCAAACACGAAAACATGTAGGCAGCTAGATGCCTTTTTTCTAGAATTAGTACTTTGTATGACCATTAATATCATGATAAAAGTTAATATATGTATGTTAATCTTATAAATTTTGATATAAAATTTATACCTTAAAAGTTTAGAACCATGGAATTAAGAGATTAGTGGCAATAGAATAGACCCTTATTTTTGGTTTTCTTCTGTCCCATATCAGATGGCTATGATACAGAGATTTTGCATTTTCTTTTAACAAGCATGCTTGGGTTTAGAGAAGGACAGAGCCAGCTTGAATTTTTAATTGAACTGGGACTACATAAAGACCATTTGTATTAAGTGTCTATAGAGAAGAGCAGAAACAAACATTTAAGAAGACTTATGAAATTTTATATGTGATATACCAATAGGCCAATTTACTTTTTTTCTTGGAACTTTTTTTTTCCTGGATGATTTGTCCTTTTTCTTCAGATGTTTCATTTGTCTAGTGTTCTTCAGATTCCTTAGCCTTCATTCTCCTGAAAGACAAAACCAAAAACCATTCCCCAAGCCTAACTTGGGGAGGTTCACTTTTGGCAAGTTATATCTGATTAAATGAAAAGCATTTGTTAGTGGTATAAATTAATTTAAATTGGATGATCATGCTGGTTGATGAACTATCACCTCTTCTAATTAAGAGGTCTCTCTTGTTCAAATTGAACTTTTATCAATTTTGATGGTATCCATTGCTGTTCTTTTGTAGAAACAAAAGCAAAACCTTGTCCCCAATATAATATATATCCTGGTTTCCATTCTGAGGTCAGCACATCTTTAAAGTATATAGGCTGATTTAACTCTGTAGTTTTTTTCTATTTTCCAATGTCTCTCTGTAGCTGTTGTTCCTGTCTCATTAGCACTGAAAAAATCCTAAGTTAATAG